CCTGGTGCTCTTGTTCCATCCACTTTGGATGATTTGAAGGAAAACCTTGGGAGTGACTTCTGTCCCTGTGACCTCCTTATACTTTTCCCTGGCCCCAAAAAACTTTTCAGCAATCTTCTCAAATTGCTTGTGACACCCTTGAGGCAAAGTGTGGAAGCCCTTCTTGACTTGCCCCTTCTCAGCTACCAGCAAGAATTGATTCACATCTGGAAACTTTATGGGCTTTCCAAAAGAGTCAATCCCAGATTCCTTCTCAGTCTGTGATAAGTGCTTGAAAGCCTTGCAGCAGGTTCTCAAGTAATAATTATAACCAGACACCTGGGTGGCAAGGGGGCCCATGGTCTGTTGAGCAGCCTGCTCCCAGGGCTTTCCACTGACTGGGTCTTGTGAGTAACATCTCATTGTTGCTGGACAAATTGCTGAGTCTGCAAAGATATATTCTCCTCTTGGTGTCTTAATATAACTGTATTGCCCTCCTTGAATCTCTGTTACTGGCTGGAGTGCTGGCAGATTTATTGGCAAGGGAATCCTGGTGAACTTGGCAAATGGGACTGGCCCAGTGATTGCTGGCTTCACATAGCCTTGAAAGAGCTGCAAACTGAGTTGAGCATCTGCAAATACCTGCAAATTTCAAAATTATCCTTGAGTAAAATGATTTTAAGAAAAATGCTCACAAGATTCACCTTAGGTAAGTGTGGATCTGGTGACTTCTCTGGTGAAAGCAAAGTGTCATACACAATGAATCTGTTTTCATCAGTGCTGACAGAATAGAATGAATCATTCATTGTCAGCTGGTGAGTTTCATGAGAAGCAGCCAGAACCAGCTTTGTTGCATATTCCAGGTTAAACTTGGCTGCATTGAAAATTACCTTCAGCAGGTTCAGATTCTTCACCCTTTGCTCCACATCCTTTGAGCTGAAGAATATTCCTGATTCATGTGCTATGGTTGATAAATACTTGAATATATGCCTGAAACAAGCAATGAAAACTCCATCATCATTTGGTCACTCAAATTTTTAAAAATCCAACTTTAAAAAATGAAATCCATGCTTCATTTAAAACATACTTCTATGATATTCACTTCAGTGCTGTGTTATGTAGGTAATATATAATTATTCTAGAGATTTATTCATGCAATACATCATCTTACAAATGAGTTTTTGGTTCCAATCTTGTATTTACCTGAACTGAAGAAGCCGCTCTTGAGTACGTTGAACCTTCTTTTCTGCAAATATTAGGGATGACCCTCTGACAGCATACCAGCAAGCAACACTAACAGGAACTGGAGTAGCAGGGAAGTTTCCCAAGCCAGACATCCCTAGTCTAGTCATTTCTTCACAACTTCTCTTGACAATGACCTTCTGAAAGACCTTGATGAAGTCCTGGTGACTTGACCTGAGGTATTCACAAGCCTTGTGCTCTTGGATGACAAAGTACAGAACCCACATCCAGAGAACAGGTGTGCCCACCTTCTTTCCTCCCCAAAATAGATGACTGATCATGTTGTTTGAATATGCAATCAGCTTTGGATGGGATGAGATGGGGATGCAACCAATAATGGATTCTCTGGTGTAAGGTGAGGTGTTGTGGCCACCTGTATGCACCCATTGAAAATAGGCCTTGTATCCAATAGGAAAATCCAGTATAGATGCCAGCTTGTTGCAAGCCTTGGAGCTCAGGAGAGTATTAAGTGGCATTGTGACCATGTAGTCAATACAGGCAGGTTCCAAACTATCAAACAGTCCTGCATCACACTTTCTAATCATGAGAACAGGAATGTCCATCTCTCCTGTGATGTTGCATAGTGTCTCCAAGCTTTCACCAGTGTTGAAATCTCCCCACAGGTCAACCTTTTGGATAAAATCTGCATTTGGTCTCCTGGCAACCCTGCTGACAGGGTACTTGAGATAAGTTGCCAAGGGGAACTTTATTTGACTGGTGAGGTTAACCAGAGGGGCAAAGTGGGCTTCTATGCTTTCCTCTGGGCTAGGGTCATCACATGGCTTTCCTAACCTCAAAATATCCACAGCCTCATCCTCCTTCCCATCTTGTAAGAGTCTTAGTAACTTGTGAATGCCCCTGGGGGCTGCTGCCTTGATGCATTCCTTCTTTGTTGCAATCAGCCAGCTCTTGAAGTGCTGCAATTCTGGAGTAAGGTGCTGAAGTCCAACAAACTTGGGGTAATATCTGCAAATAATGAAGATTCATTTCAACTGAACTGTTTACCAGGTGGATTTGACCCAATTATGTTAAGAAGAAGCATGTCATGATTTAAAGATCCAACTTGCCCTAAGATGGAATTTCTCTATGAACTGTCAAATTGCTTTTGCTGTATGATGCTGGGCCTTTTTAATGGGAAATGTTACATGAGCATGCATTCTTGTCACATAATGAAAATAGCTCTTGCCATTAAATATCCCAAGTGTTAGCTTATCTTGCATTGAATAAGATCAACAAGTCTTAATGAAATCTAGATACAGTACCTATGCCATAATTCATCCTTCACATGAAGAAAGTCCTCCAACGTTTTGATGATGGGATACAATGGAATCTTTGAGTTCCCCTGCATTGCAAGAGTTCCATTTGCAGTCACAGTGTACTTTGAATTGCGCAAGAATGGAATAGCCACTGAAACATCCACTCCAAGATGGCTAGTCTGCTCTATGCACACATCCACAGTATGAAACTCCACATTGGCCAATAGTGAGTCACTGTAGTGGACATCTTCTGTGCTGATTTGTCCATCAGTACATATGTGGAGATGCACTGGCTTGGTTTCATTTGATCTCAGGAACCTGGAAGTAAATTTCTGTTTTACTGCATTTGAAAAATAAATCAAAGTGTTTTTCATCAATATATCTGGAAATTAATTTCTTGAGGTGAACATTACTTGAGTTACAGAAATCCAAATAATTGCTATTGAATCAATTCATGCCTTTGCTCACTCTAATCATTCTAGCAGTGTTGTTTCAGCTACTGTGATTGCTTACCCATGGGTATTTCAAAGGAAAATTGTTTGAGCAGTTTGTAATTCAAAGTGGCAAAGCTGAGGAAAGTATTTGTTTTCTCCCAAGTATGATTTTCATATCTGGGCATTATTTTTCCAAAGATGAAGGTCACTTTTAAGTTTTAACTAACAATGTTTTTTTCCTTTTTTCAACTGTGGATTAAACTAAATCAGTAGAAGGGCCAGGAAATTATTATAAGGTTTATATTCCTAACTCCCTTTAATAGCACACTTTCATTACAGTAAGCACATGATTAATCCACCCTTTTACACATTTTAAAATTGTCATTACCTTGAGAGAAATTGGCAGAGTGAAGCCAGGCAGGTTCCCCCAACACCATCCATAGATTCCACACACTTCAAGAAATTTTCTTCTGTGACCTGCTCTGCCATTGTATCCCACACAATGTAAAGAATTTCTGCACAAGGGTCCATGTTGATAATCTGGGTGAACTTTTGCTTGACAGCCTTCCAGTAGGACTGTGCATTCTGAGTAGACCCACTTCTGTCCACTGCCAAGATCACCAAAGAATCACTTCTTACTTGCATTTTTCCTTCTGGCAAATTTTTATATTTTCCCTATAGTCACACAGTGAAATAGGACTTTCTTTTGAGTCACTTGCGGCGCTATTGATGATGAAAGCATCACTGCATCTCGCTTTTATTCAGAAAGTTACGTCATCCATTTGAAAGCTGCATCTTACAAAGTTGCATCAGGCAGGTTCGTCATCATTTCGAGCTGGTGTAACGGGAACCTTGCATAGTTTTTTTTTCTAATCGAAAGCTTATGCAACATTCGGGGCAGAAGAAATCAGCTTCGTTTGCGTCAACATTCCGGGAAACGCACTACTGTTATGTAGTGTTGGCACTTCGGCAATTAAAGGTATTGTAGACTGCACCAAGCATAATGATGTACAGTGCGGTACACCGCACGATCAAAGTACCTAGTGTTGGAACAATCGAATGGGTTCATGATGGCGACCCCCGTGCGTCACTGCGATTAGCTACATTTCATTATTCGCCTTGCCACGCGGTGAACGTGCGCATCGGTAATCGATCTATTGATTGGGTTAAGGGGATTGTTGTACTGTATAAGCTAATCTCTTAGCGAGTTGTGCTTTCCTTCGCGTGGATTAATTGTGAGAGAATAAGGAAGTGTGCTTGTTGATAGCGTGAGGTATTTTTTTTTCTGTTCTGAATCCGATTTAGTACGAGGTAACTCCGATATTAATTCCCCCGATCTGTTGCGTGCGTAATGAAATTTCGTTGTCGATTGGCGCGTACCGTGTTGATCAAAGAATTCGATGTAACTATGATCTGAAGAATCACTGACTTTCCCGTGTATCGTTTTTCGTGTAGTGTGTGTTCGAATGATTTTGTTCGGTGGAATTGAAGCGGTCCAAGCTGTAACATAATACGAGATCTGTGTAAGAGTGCTTGTGTTCCCTCTGGGATATTTTCGGTTCATGATGTGTACTGCGTTCAGGTGAAGACGTGTCGGAGAAGAGCATCGAAATAAATCATCTGCGATATATTGTCTTTCGGGGTGTGATTTCTTTTGTCCTTCGATATTGCGTAATTCTTTCGGTCGATCGAAGAACATTTTTCGCACTATTCTTGGTTCGTGTTGTGCTTCTTCACTGTTGTGTGTTTTTGATCGTAGCTTTCGTTCACATGAAATGCGGAGAAATCTTCGTGTGTGTACAGGGTTTGATTCAATAATTCTTTGAAATGTAATAGATTATTTCAACTTTTCCAGAATACTTGGAAGTATAGCTTCAGTGGAGATAAGAAGTTACTCCATGTAAAGGGCGGATTTGCGGAAAGCTTTTCGTAGTGGATGCTTTTCTCTACTTGGCTTCTATAATACATAGGTTCAATGACTCACCAGTCTTTTAACGTTGAGTAATTAGTGCAAAATTATTCTAATGAATTATGAAACGTCGGAATTTTTGTCTTTCATTTGAGGAGGTCGTAGTTTTTCTGCATTAACGGATACCGCATTCGTTACTGGATAAAACAAGAATTAAAAGGTTTTAAAAGGCGTAATCATGCGCTGAAGCATCTCCGTCGAAGGCATGGCCTGTAATTTATAACTGCGAAGGAAGTTTATGCGAATGGGGAGTTTTGTTCTCTTGAATTCCGCTTGCACGCAGAAAATTCTTCGCCGAATTACGCAGTTTGTATGCATAACTTATTATAGTACGCATCTCGCTCATTCCCAGCGCCTGGGATATGCAAGGAATATGAATATCTGGAGATATTAGGTATGCAGTGCTGTTAGGAATCGCTGTGTTGAAGTTGGGACGTGTGAAGCAAACTGGTTTTTTGTCCCACCTCGTGTTATTTTTTCTTCTTCTGTTCTCTGTAGTTGTTTTTGCCACTTTTCGTTTTGCAGTCCTGGTAGTTGAGCAAGCAGAAAATCATTTATTTCTTTATTTTCTTTTATACGGGTTATTTTCTTGTTTTATTACAGAAATTTCTAGCAGAACTTTCGTGGAAATGGTGGCTAATGCGTGGAACCGGATTTCTTTGTTGAACCAGAGTTCTCTTTCCTGGAGTTGGTGACTGAATGATGCAATGCTAGGAATGAGTGAGTTCATTACAGTATTACCTTCTCTTTCCATAGCGACATCTTTTGCCTGTTATGAAGTGGGGAGGATGGTTGCGTGATACCAAGTATAGATGTCGCTACTACTTGAAGAAAACTCGTTCCTGTGTCGAAGTATTGTATTCTGAAAAGTAACCAATTTTGGTGCAATGACACTCACGCAGAGGCCGTGACCAAAGAGATTCTGCAAATTAAAATGCTTGTCAAAAAAATTATGTTGTAGATTAAACCAAAAACTTTTCCTTTTTTTACAGCTTCTGCCGGGTGCCCATATAGCTTACATCATTGGAAAATATTGTATACTGTAGTTGAATCTCTATATAAGGCAACTTGAAAGTACAAAAAAAATCAATTTAGCGAAATGTTGATTTTGTGTGGAGAAAGCAATGATTTCAGGAAATTGTGATATTCTTGGCCCTCACATTGATTTTTGGATGAGCATTGACAGGATACTAAACTTATGGATACAGAATACTTCATTTGCCCAATTATTCTCTCACTTTCTTTCATTGCGCATTAAGAGACATTTTCATATTTACTTCCTCTTTCCACGTATCTATAAAATAATATTCGCAAGGCCAACAGATATTAGTTTTATAGGGGTTTGAAAAATGAGGAAAACCTTCAAATTAAGAAGATTTTAATGCATTGTTGTGTATTGAATGCAGACAGGAAATTGAAGAAAAAATTCTCAAAGTTCAAATGCATCATCAATATTGGTTACTCTCCAGAATGCATTAAAAAACAGAAACATGATGTCTCAATTATTTTTGCATGAACTTGCGTAACAGTAGATCATATTTAATGAATATGGTAATACAGATAATAAATTATTGAAATTCAGTGTATAAATCCCTAGAAGGATGTTTCATTTGATAGCACAGCTGTTAGATTGAAACACAGTTCGTACGAAATCAAGATTCATTTCCTTAATTCATTCTCGATCACAACAGACATCTCTCACAAGCCTACCATTGCCTCTTCTCAACACTCAACCTGACGGCTGTTTTTTTTCCACATAAAACAATGGTTGATCACAACACAACCCAAACAAAAAAAAATCATGTTACATCTACTTCCGCTCGTCACACAGCAATTTCATTTTTCTTTTTACTTCCAAAGATTTTCCACAAGATTTTCCGGGAAGAAAAGGTGAACTATCAAAAAACGTCTATCTTTTGAACATGTGTTCAAATATGAAATGTAGTATCGGTAACACTCGGCTATAACATGGCAAAAAATGTTGTTCCACACAGCGAAAAAGAAAGACTGAGGAAGA